TTCTGCAGAGTCCCACAAATACCCCCGTGTTTAGGACACGACGCGGTAACGAGATGCCCATGACCCTTCCCCATTTGCGACCTGTCAAACATCTCCACTGAGCCACGGAAAACTGGGATTTGACACGGTGCCAGGTCTTTTCCTCACTTTTAGTCATCAAAAGTGCAGCGAGAGGCTAAAATTGTATCAAATAACACTTTTCTAGGGAAAGGATACTCAGGGAATGGCTGTGGCTGGAAAGGGGAAGCTGAGCAGTTCTGTCTGTGAACAAAGCAGAGAGCCACGCTCTGAAGGTCACCCCCAGACCTCAGCTCTCCTCGTGCCCCACAGCTGCTGGACACCCAGAGCAATGCGCTTCCACCCGACACGTCTCCATTTTGGGCTGGCACAACAGAACTCCTTACAGAAGTTGGCCCTTTGTTCCAAGGTTTTTTGATCTTCGCCTCAGGAACCTTCATGGGCAGAGAAAGAAAAGAAATGAAACAGGCTGGAGAGCTGGGCCAAGAGAAGAACCTGATGAACTTCAGCAAGGGCAAGCATAGGGTGCTCCACATGGGAAGGAATAACCCCCTGCACCAGGACAGGTTGGGGGTGACCTGCTGGAGAGCAGCTCTGAGGAGAAAGACCTGGGAGTCCTGGTGGACAATACGATGCCCATCAGCCAGCAATGGTGGCCAAGAAGACCAATGGCATCCTGGGGTGCATCAGGAAGAGTGTGAGCAGCAGGTGGAGGGAGGTCATCCTGCCCCTCTACTCTGCCCTAGTGAGGCCGAGGGCTACGAAGATGATTAGGAGCCTTGAGCATCTCCCTTATGAGGAAAGGCTGAGGGACTTGGGTCCCTTTAATCTGGAGAAGGCTGAGGGGGGATCTGATCAACACCTATAAATACTTAAACAGTGGGTGTCAAGTTTGCAGTGGTGCCCAGTGACAGGACAAGAGGAAATGGGCACAAACTTGAACATAAGAAGTTCCACCTAAACATGAGGAGGAACTTCTTCACTTTGAGGGTGGCAGAGCCCTGGAAGAGGCTGCCCAGAGAGGTGGTGGAGTCTCCATCTCTGGGGACATTCAAAACCCACCTGGACACGTTCCTGTGCAACCTGCTCTGGGTGGGCCTGCTCTAGCAGGGGGTTGGACTAGATGATCTCCAGAGGTCCCTTCCAACCCCATAGCATTCCGTGATTCGGTGAAATGTGAAATGCATTTCACTCAACTCAGGGACTGATTCGTTGTCTTGGGGGAAGTCCTGTCCCACGAGTGAAATGGACCCAGCATTTACTCTGCCTTCAGATACAAGAGGGTGCCAAGTGGGTGGCAGCAACATTACACCTTCAGAGGAACCTCTTCGGGGTTGTCTCCTCCTCACTCGTTCTCCTGCTCCGGTCACCCAAGTCCCTTCATTCTCCAGTTTGAACACAGAAAACACCAGAAACTCACAGATTCCAACCCCATAGCATTCTGTGATTCGGTGATATGTGAGATGCGTTTCACTCAACTCAGGGACTGATTCGTTATCTTGGGGGAAGTCCTGTCCCACGAGTGAAATGGACCCATGCCCAGTGACAGGACAAGAGGAAATGGGCACAAACTTGAACATAAGAAGTTCCACCTAAACATGAGGAGGAACTTCTTCACTTTGAGGGTGGCAGAGCCCTGGAAGAGGCTGCCCAGAGAGGTGGTGGAGTCTCCATCTCTGGGGACATTCAAAACCCACCTGGACACGTTCCTGTGCAACCTGCTCTGGGTGGGCCTGCTCTAGCAGGGGGTTGGACTAGATGATCTCCAGAGGTCCCTTCCAACCCCATAGCATTCCGTGATTCGGTGAAATGTGAAATGCATTTCACTCAACTCAGGGACTGATTCGTTGTCTTGGGGGAAGTCCTGTCCCACGAGTGAAATGGACCCAGCATTTACTCTGCCTTCAGATACAAGAGGGTGCCAAGTGGGTGGCAGCAACATTACACCTTCAGAGGAACCTCTTCGGGGTTGTCTCCTCCTCACTCGTTCTCCTGCTCCGGTCACCCAAGTCCCTTCATTCTCCAGTTTGAACACAGAAAACACCAGAAACTCACAGATTTTTCTTGCTGGGCAAATTCAGTGAAAGACGTAAAGTCTCTGCTCTCTCTGCTGCAGCGTGAGCGCGGCCAAGGTCAACGGGCCAAGGAGAAAGCTCTTCTCCAGATCACAGATGCTCCCATTAACAGGGGTTTTTCTTCTGCATTCAGCACGTTTCCTCACTCCCCTCACATTATCTTGTCAATCTCCTGCTCCCATCAGCATTTCCCATCTCTCCCAGTGCTTTTTGGCACCCAATTCTCATTTTTCTGCCCCAATCTTTACCTCAATTGTGTCACGGCTTTCAAGCTGCAATCCATTTGTGTCGCTACAACATTCATGCCAAGCTCCGAAAACAGGAGCTTTTTTCCCTCTAATAAAAGATGGGAGGTTTCACCTTGTCCCTTCTTCTTGCTGAAAGGCTGTTTGGCAGCTGAGAGGGTCCGTGACTTCTTCCCGGAGCTGCTTGAATGGACCATCTGATGTCACCTATGAAGTGGTTTTTAAAACATCTCCTGAGGTACCGTCAATTTTCCTGCGGGGAAAGCTCCGTCTGTGACCGGAACAAAGAACGGAAGCAGCAAAAGAACTTCAATTTGTCTTCAAAGATCCTACATTTGGGCTTCCAGAAAACACCAGAGGTTACCCGCTGCTCAAGTTCTTGTCCTGGCAACAGTAATTGCCTCGAGAGGTAAATCCAGTTGGTTTAATTATATAGTTTTCTGATTAAAAAGAAAATTATAAATATTGTGACGATTCTGACGCAGGCAGCTCTCCACCAGTTGGCTCTTCCAGATTAAACAACCTTTGAAAGCAATTTTGAGGAGAACTGGGCTTTCCCAAGCCCCCCCATTATTGAAAAGGGCCAGTAATTCAAAAGAAACCCACCTACGAGCTACGCTTTTCAGATTGAAGCTACAACTGAGCGTTATCCCAGCGATGCTGAACGCAAACATCCTTCAAGGCAAAAGGGAAAATCATCCTCTGGAAAATTCTCAAGCTGGTTTGTCTCCGAAGAGCAAACCAAAAGCAAGGTTTGCAATCAAGGCCTCCAGCAAGGAAGCTTAACCTGCCCAGCAGCTGGGGCAACGAGCAGAGCAACTGGGAGAAGGATGAGAGATGGATTCCTCATCCCTCACAAAGATGAGGAGGGGCCTGGAGGATCTCCCTTATGAGGAGAGGCTGAGGGACTTTGGTCTTTTTAGCCTGGAGAAGACAAGACTGAGGGGGGATCCGATCAACAGCTATAAACACTTAAATGGCTGGTGTCAAGTGGATGAGGCCAGTCTTTTTTCAGTGGTGCCCAGTGACAGGAGAAGAGGAAATGGGCACAAACTTCAACATAAGAAGTTCCATCTAAACATGAGGAGGAACTTCTTCACTTTGAGGGTTGCCGAGCCCAGGAACAGGCTGCCCAGAGAGGTGGTGGAGTCTCCTTCTCTGGAGACATTCAAAACCCGCCTGGACATGTTCCTGTGCAACCTGCTCTGGCAGGGGGTTGGACTAGATGATCTCCAGAGGTCCCTTCCAACCCCATACCATTCTGTGATCCCTGCAGAAGACACATTTGTGTGTGTTTGGGGATTTTTAGCACCTGCCTGATTTGCAGCCTCACGTCCACGGCCCCACGGAAGGCGGGGATCAAAGAGATGTGACAACTACAGCAGATCTGTGCTCCAACAGCAGCCTCAAAGCAGAGGCTGAAACCACTGTGCAGCATCACGGACCTGAAGAGGTGACAAGGTGGGTGTCTGGCTCTACCATAACCCAATGCACTGGGGTACAGGGGAGGGGGAGGAAGAGGAAGGTCTACCTTCACTTTTCACATGAGCTCTGGACCATGTTTCAGAACAATTTGTACCCTGGTAGTCACTGATTTAGCAGACAGGACACACACGTGCACCGTTTTCCAGCTGACCACTGATTCAGACAATTCACATTTTTTGATATTAGGAGTGAAAGCAAGAACTAGACAGAAGCTGTTCTCTGGTGGCACAGTCCCCCGCCCAAAGCCTCATTTGGAGGAAGGTAAAGATTTAAGTATATATCATATAAGTTCCCCACATCTGGGCAAATGCATCATATACTCAGTTGCAGGCTTTTTTAATTCAGAAAGAAATTATCAGTCTCCTGCTCTGTACCGATGGGTTTATGATGTCCATCCTGCAGGACACAGCTCAGGTCGTTAAGAAGAGGGAAGTTCCATTCCTGTCACAGCTCCCTGTCATCGACACTGGCACCCAAGGGGTCTGAGCCAGCTCTTCAGAGCTCCCCCAGCAGCACCTTCTGCTGGAACATAAGGGAAGGCACCTAAATGATTATTTTCATAGAATAGAATCATAGAATGGTTTGGGTTGGAAGGGACCTCAAAGATCAGGGAGTTCCAACCCCCCTGCCATGGGCAGGGACACCTCCCACCAGACCAGGTTGCTCAAAGCTCCCGCCCGGCCTTGAACACCTCCAGGGATGGGGCATCCACAGCTTCTCTGGGCAACCTGTTCCAGTGTCTCACCACCCTCACAGGGAAGAGTTTCTTCCTGAGATCTCATCTCAATCTCCCCTCTTCCAATTTACAACCATTACTCCTCATCCTCTCTCTGCACTCCCTGACAGAGAGTCCCTCCCCAGCTCTACTGTAATTTTGGTGTATTAATGCTTCTTGCTCAGTTATAAACAGTACGAGTTTATTGCCATGAATATTCTGAAAAACTAGAAGATCATTAATGCTTCTTGCTCAGTTATAAACAGTACAAGGTTTATTGCCAGGAATATTCTGAAAAACTAGAAGATGGTGAAATACCCGATTAAGTAGGGAATCCAGCTCTTAATGAGACAGCTCGTTAGAGCGGGACTAAGGCCGTCTCTACTGCAGCACCCCCAGGAAGGGGTTCTCTGGGTCACGTCCCTCACGGTGCTGCGCCTCCTGCAACACAATATGCACGTATCAAATACATTTGGTATTTTATTAAGTAAACAAAGCAAATTCTCAGTGCACATTTTAAGCAGCAAAAAAAGAAAAGAAGCACCTCAGACTTTCATACCGTAACAAAAGTTTCTGTGGAAGCTGCATTTTATTTGAAAATCCACCCATTTTTGCTAACGTACATTTTAATATTTTAAACAAAAATAGAATCTGCAGAGACAATGCAGCAAGTATGCTTAATTCATGTCCAGAATTGCTTTCATATTAATGACTATCCTTCTGAAGGCCCCACTCCACCCCAAAGTTAGGATGTATTTACACAAAGCACCGATCAACAGTGCTACTTTAATTCTTCGTTAACTAAATACCCACTAGACACATGTAAGGAAGCTACTTCCCCCCTCTTTTTTTTTTTTATTTTAAAAGATACGTGACCCGAAACATGGCACAAGCCAAATGAAAAGGCTCCCCCCCCAACACACACCACCTCAATTTTATTTTATTTTTTTTTACAGAAAAGAAGGAAAGTCTTAAAGTGAAAGCAATTCCTCACATTCATTTTGGAAAGGCCTTATAATGTCAAATGTAAAAATAATGACATGCCAAGCACAAAGCAATAAAGTTCCTTCCCAACGCACTAATGCTGAATTAAAAATGTAGTGCTTCTTCTAGTCAGTTAACTGTTCCCTTGCAAAATCCTAGGCACAGAATTGACTATAAGGATTAATGCATTTTACAGCTCTTCCCTAATTCCCATATATACTGAGAATTCATTAGATTCAGACCTTTAAAATATTTAGTGCTCTGTATGTCAGCGGAAAAGCATTCTGAATCAGATTCATTCTTTGTGGATAAAAATCAGACATACTGTATACATCCATACTCATTTTCAGAAGGAGGTTTGTGGTTTGTTTTTCTTTTTTTTTTTGATACAATATTAATGTTAAATTGATAATCATAAATAAATACAAACAATAATACATAAGGAATGTCTACTGCAAACTGAATATATAATTTTTTTTAAAAAAAGTTAATTTCCATTACTGCTGTGCCTACGTTTGTGAGGACTGAAGAAAAGGTAACTGCAGAATTAAGAGTTAGGATTTGACACCCACCCCCCGCCCCGGCCCAAAGTCTTGTTTCGAGTTACGGTAAAGGACCCAGCTCCGTGTTCCAGAGGCATTTCCAAACATCAAATCTCAATTTCCAGAATCAAGGCTTCTCTTCTTACGTTACCGATTATGGATATTAGAAGCTGAAAGTATCGAGGTGTTAGTCACCAGGGCAAAAAGAGAGAGATCTGAGTCTTAATTCACGGCAATTCTTGGCTTTGAATCACGGATCGATGTTTTCTTCTGGAGTTGTCCCAGGTTCCTTCATTGCTCTTCATCGTTTCGCTGCATCGTTTCGTGGAAGAGGAGAGTTTGAGAGACCAGAGTCCATTTTATTTTCTTCCCGGAGGTGGGGGGGGTTACTGGTGAGCACATCTTTTTGGAGACGTTCCTTGCTCTTCCCTCTAACACAGTTACATAAATTGAATCTGGAAAGATTAAAAAACCCCTGTGTTAATATCCAACAGAAGGAAGACTTCACTCTTCAAACATTTCCATTCTTCAAACGCCCAGGCTACCCCAAGAACTGAAGTTTTAAACAGAAATAAAAATTTTACCAAATCAGGGGCAGAAAACAACCAAAAACCAGCAGGATGTTCTTCCAGCTACACCAGCCTTTGGAACAACCCTTTGCATCCCAATGCTTTGTCCAGCAATAAAACTGTTTATCCCTGCAATATCGTCACCAGCGGCTGCGTAACACGGATCAACATCCTTATGAAGAGAACTCAAGAAGAACTTTACACTAAAGAAGAGAACTTTACATTATCTTCTTGATTTTTTTTGTGTTTTCACTCATTTTAGTATGTAATTTCCACCTGCCTCTGATTGCTAAAGAACAGAACTCCATCGGTACCAAGATTTAACCCTCACGTGCATGAAACCAAGTGCCACCTTCTACATAAAGTGAACTCTTTGGTGAAGGAACCTGGTGGAGGGGCAGGAGCAGATGCCAGCAGCAGTCAGGGGGCTGCCAAAAGCCACAAACCCTAAGTGTTTTCCCCAAGGAACAGTGTGGCAGTGCCACTGTTTTTCCCCCTTTTCTCCCCACCAGCTCCTGCTCAATGACCATCACAACATCCGTTGCAATTACTTGCACCTGGACTTTGGGGGATGGCTGGTGACACAGCCAAAACACTGTCTGGAGTGGGGACCTAGAGATTTTGTTCCCATGAGAATATGACTATGGGTTAATTATCTTACTGTATAAATAGTGGACAGCCCCAGAGCCCTTTGAGCTCTCCTGTACAGCAGCAGCTGCACACCAGGGTCTCCCCTTGGGTGAGGACACTACTTAAGGTTCTGCTCCTTGAGGTTGAGAGGTTCCTTGCCACAACAGATTCTCAGTAAGTGACTAATAACATGCTAAACTTGAAATCTTAGTTAAGTAATATGAAGGATTGATTGCACATATATAATCCTTTAGACATAAACCATTGTCCAAGTCTGGGACTAGGATTGGATCCAGCTGCACCCGGACTCCTCTCTGAGAAGGAGTTTAGATAGCCAGGGGGTACCTTCTGAACTGCATGACTCAATGGGAGGGTCTCCCTGACAGCTTGTCTGACCCTGTCCTCTCTGCAGTAAATAATAGAGCGCACCCTGACATCGAATCTCATAAAACACTATCACATTTACTACTGGTTTTATCACATTTATTTTGTTAAATCACTGTTTCACCTGAATAAATATTTCCCTACTTCTCTCTTAGGAGCGCAGTTCATCACTCCACCTGCGACAAATGGTCAATACACCAGGTGGTACCAGTTCCTTCTCCCCAGCTGCAGCCAAGGACCACGTGTGGTGGCTCTTGCAGTTCAGGAAGGAACCAGAAAACTTTATTTCCAAAAGACTGGAAAGGACTGAAGCAAAATGACTTGATGGGGCCTTTAAACTGCGGCAGTTCCATCGACAGAGTTCCCAAGTCCCTTCCACAGCGCTTCCAACTCGACTTATTTTCATCAGAAACAGCTCTAATCATGTTAATAAAACTCCAATCAAAACTTCAACTTTGTTCTATATCACGAAAACCAGCATCTCCCCAGAATCACGGACAATACCTAAGTTGTTCTACAAGAAATCCTGGAGAGAGAGCTCTGCAAAGGGATCCTTTCCTGAGGCTCTGTGAGGACTCTGACTGGAAGGGCTGGATGCTGCAGACAGCTAGCAGGAAAGACGACAGAGAAAGGGAAAGAAAAAAGAAAAAAAGGTCTCAGAATGACAGAATATGAAAGCGGAACGTGTAATGAAAGGACAAGGGGGAGGTTAAGAGGCAAACTTGGCAGAAATCAACTATTAAAACGAGGTGTTTGGTCATATGGAGAAACAGAAAGTCTCTTCGATGGTCGGTGTAATGCAGAAACAAGCCGGACATGACTCCCCAGAAAGGAAACTCCCATTGGAATTTGCCAAACAAGCAGATAACCTCACACTTCCACAGCAGTTTTCTTCAAAAGAAGATACAAAACCTGAAGCCTGACACTCCTGGGGAACAGGCTCCCACTCTCCCCACTTCACCGGCAACGCTACGGGCTGGCAGGGAGAGGTGAGCCTGGGGGTCCCACCAGAGCACAGCAGCTTTCCAGGCACCTTCTCCAGGAGAAACAGCTCTCAGCATCTTTTCCCTTGGAAATAGGATGTGTATAAAAAGAAGCTGGAGAGCAGACAAGGCGTAATTGTCAGTTTGGGGCTCAGGAGAACACGGGATATATTCTGGGAGTAGGCAAAAAATAAATGGATGAGAGTTTAGTCAACTGCTGTGGTTTGAGGTGAGAGCTGAAGGGTGAGAGCGATGGTCTGTACTATCTCTACTGACAAAACTCACATCCTGTAGCCACCTAAAGCACCACACTACAAACACAGCCCTGGAAAGCATGTAACAACAGGTAATACTGGCTTTCCAGCTGCTGCTGCTGGAAGGGATCGATAATCTCCCGGCTGCAGTTGTAGCAATATCTGCTCTTTGTCAATTTATTATTTTTTTTTAGCCCTTTTCCTTCTTTGTTAGTGCTTTCCCAGTTACAAACAGTGCTTTAGTAAATTCTATGTGCCCTCCTCCCTCGGAGAGCTTGCAGGCTTTTGAAGTTGCAAATAAACCAGAGACCTTTCTCCATTCTGGATTCTGTCACTGGAACAGTTTGCTCCCACCCCAGTCCCCCAGCACTGGCGCACACTTGCTCTTCATGCCCCTGGCAAAAAACATCTCAGAAAGACACAAATTTCCTCTGGAAATGCTGACCGTCTGCCAACCTCTGCCTGACGGGGAACAGCCTTAGGGGAACTGTTTGCAGAAGTGCCCAGAGTGCAAATATTGCCACTGCAAATTTAAATTTCTCACCTTAAAGTCTATCTCAGAAACCCCGCGGGGAGAAGGAGTTTCCTTCAGGATCAGGAGACTCTGCTTGGGCTGGAATCTCGACCTCCCTCCCCAAACCCCACTCCCAGTGGGGCACTGGGATCCAGTCCCCACAGACACGTTATGGAAGAGTCATGAGACAGAATGGGAAGCGCTCGAGAAGCTGTTTCAAGATGTTGGAAGTTCCCCTTTCTCGATGGGAGGAGACTTTCCTCCTCTTTGTGGTCAAAAACTCAGTGTCACACATTTAAAAGTCCCGTTAAATTGAGTCAGCAAATCTCCAATTGGTATTAAGTCCAAAGTAAGGTCCCAGTTTGAAAGCAGCGTGGAAGACTGGTGGGTTTGGAGCTCTCTCTTTTGTGTCACATCAGCACGGAACCAGGAACTGGTGACGTTTCACAAAACCTGTTCAGGTTAAATACTGGGGGGAAAAAAACCTGACAGTGCTACTTCCTAAATGCCGACGAGACACAGGACCGTACAGTAACTACCTGTTTTAATGAAATTCCTATAATTATTACAAAAGAGGCCTAAAAAAACCCCTCCAAAAACATGGAAAGTATAATTAAAGTTTCCTACATCACATCTTTTCAGAACACCACTTATAAATATAGCTGAAAACCAGAACCCACCTTAAATACTTCTCCTTAGAAACCTCTAAGAGAGCAGCACTGGCCACCGCTTCCTCTAGTGCCAGCACCCCCAGAGCTGTTGGTTTTAGTCTCTCCTTTGCTGCCCAGCACTTTTGGGATCTGAAACACGACGTCCTGTGCCAGATCAAACCCAAAGCTTGGTCTCACCTCCACCAGTCGTCCCCTCGTGCTGCTTCCAACAAAGGCAGAACCTCCCCAAAGCCACAATAACGCAGAGGAACCCGTCCACGAGTGAGCGTTGTGCCAAGTCCCATCATTAACTAGATACTGGTTTCTCATTTAACAAGTCCAACAGGATGCTTTAATATGTATTTTAGGATTAATGTGCCAAAAAGGAGGACCCGTGAAGTCTGCTTTCTGCCCTAAGTCTGTCCTGGACTTCGTCTCTTCTTCCCCAGTTCCAAATAAAAAAAAAAAAAACACAACAAAAAACCAAACAAACCAAAACAACAAAAAAAGACCCCAAACCAAAAAAACACCCCATAAAACCACTGAAAACTATTTGCACATTTACCTGTTCATCCCCCTCCCCAGGCAGTCACTGCTATTGCTTTCTCTGGACAATTCAGTGCCGTTAACGACCACGGCACCACAATTCACACAGGGGCTGGCAAAAGGCTGAGTAATTTCCTTATTCTATTTTACACCTTCAAATTTTCACTGTTCAGCTGCTTCCCCTCCTAGGGCTATGTCCTTTTGGGGTTAAATCAGACCGTTCTCGATGCTCTGGCTACCACGATATGGTGTTTTGCAGTGAGAAAGGCAAAACAGTTTTCATCCTGATAAAATAGTGGGTCTCTCTCAAACACGAAATACTGACCTTAATGCAAGAGAAGTGATTTAAAAGAAAAAAGTTTAAAAGAAACACCAGTTTCTTTTAAAACCATAACTTCAGCACTTTTCAAAGCTGCAGCTGTTCTTGAAACAAACATTCTCAATTGTTTCAAATTATTTTGCCCTCAAAAAACCTAAACTACCCTTGCTTTTATTGCAACAATTAGAAATACAGTTGCAAGCACATAAATGCAACACTTGAAAGAGGCAAAATAGTTATGTCTAGAGATTTGAAAAGTATATTTATTAAAAATCCTTAAGAGTATCAAGTTAGAAACACCAGTTTAAATCCTAAAGAAACTGGACAAGATTGGGACACCTATTTTACTGGTCTGTGTACAAAGCAGGAGGAGTTCCCAACATGCTACATCTTGGCAATATAATATTTTGGCAACAACTTCCTCTGTCATTAAGTTTTTAAGTACTTTCCATTTCTTTACTGTAGACAAAAACCAAGCTCTATCAGCAGACTGGAGGTAAGTGATAGAATCTGGTGCTTTAAATGTAAATACGAAAACCAATTTTGTTTTCAGCAGTGATGACACCACGGCCAAAACCTGAATTACAGTTCTGGTGTCCCGGGATCCACGTGGGATGCAGGCAGTTTGAATCCTGTGCCTTAACTGTAAGTTCACAAAAATCCCAGAATTGTCTAGGTTAGAAGGGACCTTTAAGATCATTCAGTCATTACGATTTGTCTACTTATACCAAGAACACACATTTTTATTTCTCTATTTTCCTATTTCTAGCACAACGGGGGTATTACCTAACCCTAAACAGACAAATACGCTCTCAGAAGAGCCACAAGACTGAACACACAGTAAATTTAGATTATAATGTTGTAATTCCCCTCCGTGGCCATAGGTTAGTAAATGCCATCTCTGCTGTGTCTGGGGAACAGCTCGCAGCAGCCTTTGCTTCATTTTGGTTGCTTTATTGGCATCAGGCTTCTGAAAGCCCAACACCTCCCAACAACACAGACTCTGTGTCTCAGGGAAACCCTTCCTGCTCACGCAGCAACCGCTGCTCCAACGGGTGTGCATTCTGTCCCATTAAGTCTCCCAGGAGCCAAACGCGTTGTCAGATGAACACAATAAGCAGAGCTCTGCACATCTCACTGCTGACTAATTCCTCTTGCTCCTGTTGTGACAGGGATTCAGCCCAGACCAAGCCCTGCAGCGTCAAATGAAGCAGAAAGGCTCACCCAGCTTCTCAGACCTACCTGGCTATAACCAAATTAGGCAGGTAGGCAGGTTATTTATTTATATATATATATTTTTTTTTTAAAGGGACATTTCAAAACTGATGTTTTGGGCATTGCAGAAACACTCTTATCCTTGAGAATCCTTTAACATCTTCTCTATATACTTGTAAACACATTTTTTCCCCTTGAAACAGTATAAAACCCACATGAAAGATACCAAATCACTTGTCTGAAGAGCCGGTGGAAATGCGAAGCAGCCCTCAGAAACCCAAGAGAAAGTCAATTGAAAGCTGCACTTCTAGCTAAAGCAAGCTAATAGCGTCCCTTTCAGATAAAGCATAAAAAATAATGAAAAAATAAATCTATTTTAGCAAAGCAAACAGACATTCTGCCCACTGGCAGCACACAGCAAAGCCTCCCTGGTTAAAGGATCAGATTCGGGCACTGGAGCGAGCTTTGAGGCTCTTTTCCTTTCCAAACCAGTGCTGAATTCTTTTCCCTCCACACTCCAGTCCCAAAAATCACACTTAAGCCAACACAGATTTGAGTGAAGTTTACATACGTGTTTTTGAACAGGCACCTCTAAAGACAGAGCTCTTAATAGTAAGATCAAAATACAGTCCAATATATTACACATTTCTAACAGAGACACGATGCACAGTGTGAACTCTGCCACAGAAACATTCACCTGGTAATTAAACCCACACTGTTAATACCACAGTTCCAACCTGCCCCTAACCTTGGCTCTGCCTCCAACTACAGTTCACAAACACAACAAAGCCTTAACGAGCTCAGTATTTTCTGCTATTGGCATGAAGACGTTCAAAGATTGTCCATCCTCCCTTGCTATTTCTTTTTTTTAAAACGTTTCTCCTACTGCAAAAATCTGTTTTCAGAAATAGAGACCTCTCTATTAGAGAAGACAATGGTTCAAACGAGCTGAATGTGGCCCGTGGCTCCCAGGGAGCGGCCAGAACCAAGGACCCCACGTGGGGCTGGAGCTTCCCCAGGTTTGATACCGTGTTCTTAAACCCACCTGGAACAGCCACAGACCTAAAAGGCTCCACACACCCCATCTGTCCCCTGCAAAACACTGTCACATCAGCACACAGCTTCCACTCCATGCTTTTAAAGCAACTGACCCAGCTGTAACCCCTTCCCAGCACCAGTTATGGGGAATATACACACCTGTGCTCCTGGTACAGGGCCAAAAGGGTTTGGTGGTCTCATGACTGGCTGGCTGTATATTAAGGTTGGCTGTGTCATTACTGGAATGCCTCCCATCTGCGACGGCTACAAAGAAAAATAAAATCCAGACAACATCAAATCACACAGAGCAGTGATACATCGTGAGTATTTAAAGAAAGGGAAATAGTGAAAGATACATCGTGAGTATTTAAAGAAAGGGAAACAGTGAAAAGAGGGCTGGAGCCCCTCTGCTGTGAGGACAGGCTGAGAGAGTTGGGGGTGTTCAGCCTGGAGAAGAGAAGGCTCCAGGGAGACCTTAGAGCCCCTTCCAGTATCTGAAGGGGGCTACAGGAGAGATGGGGAGGGACTCTTTATCAGGGAGCGGGGCGATAGGACAAGGGGGAATGGTTTTGAACTGAAAGAGGGGAGATTTACATGGGATATCAGAAAGAAATTGTTTACTGTTGAAGCTGGTGAGACACTGGAACAGGTTGCCCAGAGAAGCTGTGGATGCCCCATCCCTGGAGGGGTTCAAGGCCAGGCTGGATGGGGCTTTGAGCAACCTGGTCTGGTGGGAGGTGTCCCTGCCCACGGCAGGGGGTTGGAACTGGAGAACCTTTAAGGTCCCTTCCAACTCTAACCATTCTGTGATACCTGCAATCATGTTAGATCTTTCTACAACGTTCTGCCGATAAAGGCTACTAGAAAGGAACATTTGAACGGTCCCTTCCAACTCTAACCATTCTGTGATATACACAATCATGTCAGATCTTTCTACAACGTTCTGCCAATAAAGGTTACTAGAAAGGAACATTAGAATCTTTTTAAAAGAAATACTCTCAACAACCACTGAGCCCATTTCATCTCTTGCTGCAAAGACGTGAAACACTGAAATACTTGTTTTAGCACAAGTATTTGTGCTGGTTCTCTTGCTCCCCCAGCGCAGCTCTGACAGCGCTCCCCTCTCTGCTGCCGAAAGCAGGAGAACAGCTTTACAGATCCCAGCTCAGAGCTCAGAGGGCTCAAGAGAAATTAACACTGAGAACTCTGTGTACAATCAAGGTTAAGCCATTATGCAATCAACATCTGAAGTGTTACCGACACTCTGCCTGAGCCAAATTAAGGTGTAACGTATATTAATGGTCTTAAAAGTCAGGTTTTATTTATTTTAGGTAGATGCCCAGCCCTGGTGCTGCTGTTGGCACTCCCTTCGGGCTTGGGTTGACACCCTGCAGCAGCCCTACTGAACCCAGCCCTGTTCCAAACAGCTTCTCCTGCACTAATCCTGGTTCTCCTCCCAGCCTGGCAAGCGGCTCTTTGGGCAGTGGCACGGTGAACCCGTTCAAGAAACCCTGATGAAAACATCCTACAAAAAAAAATTAAAAATAACTGCTGGCATAATGAAGCCAAAGGAACCAGCAGGCAGGGAATCGCAGAATCAGAGAATGGTTTAGGTTGGAAGGGACCTTAAAGATCATGGAGTTCCAACGTGATGATCCTGCCAATGGGAGGGACATCTTCAACTAGACGGGGTTGCTCCAAGGAAATTGCCTGTCCTTGTGTGCCCTCCCCAAGGGAAAACCTTGCCACTTCCAAATGGCCACGCTCACAACTGCGGTACCTACGACTGCTCTTTGGAAAATCAAACCCAAGGGTTGGAAAATGGGTCACTATTTCAGAGATTCCCAGCAGGAAGTGTCCCGAGAAAGGCTCAACAAGCCAGGTGGGTTTTCAGCCGACTGGTGGTGGTTCTGAGACAGCCCACCCCACCCCTCTGCTCAGACACCACACGCTTCTGAACAGCAACCCAGGATAATGGAGCTACAGCTCCCAGTAATCCCAGTTTCCATTGCATGTTGGCATTTAACCCCCACTTTACAAAGCCACTTCACAAAAAATGCAAGATTACTGTCTATACCCTACATACCTTACCTTCCCCAGCTGCTGAATTAAAATAACTAAGAAAATGCTTCCAGTACCACCAGTGCCAAAGTTGTGCAGATCCAGTTTGAATTAAAACTGATGGTAATTTAACCACAACGACTTACTATGGGAGTTCATGGGTGGGTAATGGGGAAGACTATTTTTATCCCAAAAGACCCTCAAGAACACTGTTGGCCACTTTGCAGTTCATTCACCAAGCACCTATGAACTATAAATCATTAATCTAATGTGATTATATGATAAAGCATTTAGCTTATTTTTATTATATTAATCTGTAAGCCAATAAACAGAATAATCGTCCTAAGGAAGCTCTCTCTCCTTTTATTCACCCAAAGCCGTGCTCCGCAAACACCATACTAATCAAGAAGAGTCAAGGCATGTAATTTCAGAAATATTTTAAAATTTGAGGTAAAAACAAAAAATTTGGACAACTTCTCAGAGCAACAAGCAGCAAGTTTATGTCAAAAGCCTGGTGGTCCTGGTGTGTCTCTAAAGAGATTCAGTTCTCACCAGCCCCACAGCACACGGTGGTGTCACAAACCCCCAGTTTTGTGGCATCAGTCGTTACTGGCACCTTCTGCTGAGGCTGGGAGGTTTTATTTCACCCATAAAACGTTCCTGTTGTGAATTTATCTCTCTACACTCACACAACACACTTATTTCTAGGACACACCACACCAAGAAAGCCCACCAAGGATAGACACTGCCTTAATTTTTAAAAGTTTTTGAAAAACTAAGTGAGGTGAGAAAGGGCAGAGTTCATAGAATCATAGAATCATTGAGGTTGGAAGAGACCCTTGGGATCATCGAGTCCAACCATCTCCCCTACTCTACAAAGTCCTCCCCTACACCATATCCCTTAGCACTGCATCTAAACGGCCCTTAAACACAGCCAGGGATGGTGACTCCCCCCCCTCCCTGGGCAGCCTGTTCCAATGCCCGACCACTCTTTCAGTGAAAAATTCCTTCCTAATGTTCAATCTAAACCTACCCTGTTGGAGCTTGAAGCCGTTCCCTCTCGTTCTATTGTTAATTACCTGTGAGAAGAGACCAGCACCAACCTCTCTACAGTGTCCTTTCAAGTAGCTGTAGAGAGTGATGAGGTCTCCCCTCAGCCTCCTCTTCCTCATACTGAACAGCCCCAGCTCCTTCAGCTGCTCTTCATATGATTTGTCTTCTAGGCCCTTCACTAGTTTCGTTGCCCTCCTCTGCACTCGTTCCAGCACCTCGAGATCTTTCAGATAAATCCGCTCAAGTGGTTGAGAAACCCAGGACTTGGTGAATCGGTGAAGAATTAACCAATAGGAGGTCAAATTCAATTTTCAGCAAAAAAACGACTGCTACCAAACCATAATCAGTGAGATGATGCCCGGTGTGTCGGAGCCCCAGGAGCACACTTACCATGCCGTAGCCCATCATCCCCGTGGGTGTGGTGGCGGGATAAGCCATCACTGGTGGTGCCTGGGGTGAGAAACAGGGATGAGCTGAGAGGAGACGTGATCCGCCCCGCGCGCGAGGGGAAGGCACCGCTTTCTAAAGGGCCAACTGCAGCGCTCGGCTCGTTGTGGGCACAGCAAAGAGCAAACAGGATTTGCAGCCTTGTTTAAGAGCGCATCCGAATCGATTCGGATGGAACACAACACCTAAGCTAAGGTTTTCTAGGCAAATCTGTAATTAGGAATTTGCTTTTTAACCTGGTAGGATTCTGGGTGACTGAATGAAACACCCGCTCTCTCAGCATCCTCTGCAGAGGACACAGCCTGACACAGAAGTTGGAGAGAAAATATTTAGGAAGCAGAAGTTTTTTTTTCATCCCAGGAAATATCTACTTCTATTCCAAAATCAGAAGTAATGGTGCACAAGGAACCTTGAGAGAATTTTGAAGACTGAAAGACCAATCTACCATTGGTTCTGATGTTACGGGAATTCTTTTTAGGCAGGAAGTACACAGGATGGGGATCCTCCTGCCCTGCTTCCATACAAACTCAGCTCTAACGTGACTATCCAGCTTGTGTGCCCTCTCTCAGCCCCTTATTGCAGCGAATTTGAACAGGTTAAAAGTCCTCTTAGTACTTTGCAGACAGGTTTCTGTTACCCTTAACCTAAGCTAGCCATGAAGGGACAGTAAATAGCTGTCAACAGACAAAGCCTGGGGTGAAGCTACGTTTTGTAAAGAACTTGGCAACATAGAAGTAAAAAAAACCAAAACAACAAAACAGCTGATAACTTAGAAAGAAAAATGTATTAAAGACAGTTCTTCGTATCCTAAGCACATTCTCTGTTCTGTTTCATTGTTCACTTTCTAAATTGGTATTAACTCTTACAAAGATAAACAATGTTGGGGTATAGTTTGGAAAAAAAAAAATTGGTGGTTATAAATATTCTGGTAACTTGCTGTCCATGGCTCCACCTCCTGTCAGCCTCCCCTTTCAGAAAACACAGTCCAATTTTCACCCTGTTGCTGGGGGGACTACTATTGCTGACAAGACAAAGACCGTACACATTTCTTGATACACAGAGATTATTGATACAGAAAAGAGGGAAGCGACACAATATTAATTCTACTGGATTAATGAAAGCAGAGAAATTGTAACATCAAGAACAGGACGTCAGCAAAGCTGTTGCTGAATTCAGTTCTAAGGTATCAGCTGCCTTTTCACAGACAGCAGCCAGTGCCACTGGCATTTCGGTTGCCGTCGGAACAGATTTCCCTGATGAAAAATTACCTGGCCTGTGCTGTCTGTGTATCCCTCACAGCTGGCAAAGCTAAACTCAAAATTCCTTTTTTTTTTTGTGTGTTGTGCTTGTGTATCCCCACCTCCACACACAAACACAGGCTGACTACACTCAGTTTTTGAGCGCTCAAGTACGGACCTACTGTCCTTTAGTTACAGAGTTACCCTGCGACCAAAGAACAGGCTACAGGGAAAGAGCAGCATCGCTGCTGACATAAAGCAAACAAAAAAAATATCCTTTGAAAGGAAAGGCTGCATTCCCCAGAGAGCCAGCACAGGTTACCACGTGCCCTTTGCAAACTGCCAGCATGGATTGGCTTTTTTTATGAGCATTAATGACATATTGGTCTCTCCCCCCACTAAAACCAAAACAAAAAATAATTAAAATAAATTTAAAATAAATAAATAAATCAAGATCTATCATAAATGTGGATAAAGTGCCAAGTGTGACAGAAGCCCGTGAGGTTTCATGCAGTTATTCAAACACAAACATTTTTTTCACCTTCATTCAAAATTCACCAAGTGCATTAAAGGCAGCCCAGACACACGCCCCAGCTCTCCGGCAGCAAATGGCACAGTTTAAAAGCGAAGGAAAAAAATAAAAATAAAAAAAATAATCTTGGTAATTTCCCATGCCATCATTCGAGTCAAGAGCCTGCAGACCAGACCGCCCATGGAGTTCGTGGATGCTTGGAAAAAAAAGCTTGATTTTTTTTTTTTTGCACACCAAAAGATTTCGTTTTTTTTTTTAAAACATGAGAAATGTGTAAATAGCAAGAAGGTTATGAGATTCTGCAAGAGCAGTGTTAATATCAGCATGCCCAGTCGATTGCAAAGAGGCTGCGGGTCGTTTCACTTACGTATTGTGGGAAGTGCATGCCATTCTGTATTCCCCAGGGAGAACAATTACATAATGCAATAACACTGGATTAGAAGCAAATACTTACACAACGGAATATACACAGAGAGCATTTTTAGTTCACAAATACATTAAATGTTTCCCCCAACACGTTCTTGTAATTCAAGTCATTGACTGAGACAGCAGACACCTGCGAGACTGTCGCCGTTGTTAGGTTTGTAATTGTTTTGCTGAGTCCATTTATTTGGTATATGCCTTTTTTCCAAAGACGAGAAAGCCTTATTTTAAAAGCATATTTATTTAGCAAGCAGCAGCAACTCCACAATAAATAGACCAGCAGAGGAAAACTAAATATTTTTTTTTCCCCATAGATTATTTCCATGTCAAGGTTTTTATGTCCATAGGACAGTTTCACAGGAAGAGCAGTGTCTCAACGGCATCTCTAAAGGATAAAAGCTCTTAAGTGTAATGACTTGTCACAAGAAGATGTACGTACGAGACATGAGTTATTAAACAGATTCAAGCACACGAGGAAACTCCAACCACCAGTCAATAAAGCAGGTGAGTAGTTACGGTTTCTTCAACACCTACACACCCTCTGGTAAGGTCCAAACCCTTCTCCCTGCGGGGAAGAGGGGGTGGATCCAGGGAGAAAAACTCTCTCTTTCCAAATCCCCACTGCTCCGTTACTGGGCTGTGGGTCCAGCCTCCCCCAGCCGGTTACAGAGTCAGATGCAATAAATCCTCAGGGGGAATTTGTTACTGGTTCTGTCCGTGTGCAGTTCCACGGGGCGTTGGGGAAAGGGCGAGGAGGATTCACATGCAAAAATGTTCTGTTAACATTGTAAAAACTACTCACACAGACTCTGAACCCCTTTGGGATTGGGTTTTTTTTTGGTTTGTAATTACGAACCCTCACTCCAAACCCTTGCCAATGCTACAGTGGATACTAGGAAGTTGATGACCCAAACTGACACACATTAAAAAGAACTGCAGAGGTGGGGGCAGGAAGCAGTAGTTACACACATTAAGAAGCTACAGCCCACACCACTGCATGGACACCTCTATGAGGAATTGAGAGGACTCTCGGCCCATTGTAGGCTGAGCAGCAACGTTATACATACCTGACCTATCACTGCACCTGAAGAACATCATTTTCACTCTTACTTTTCTAGGTTGCAAAGTGCCCCCTGGAATTCCCCATTTGACATCAGTTGAGTGAAACTCAAAGGCCGGTATCTTGCCATGAGAGAGGTTGGCCAAACACTACTGAAGTCTATGCTAAAGCTGCACGTGTTGCGTCCTATCCCAAACTATCTACTGGAACTGCTCAGCTAAGGAAACCAAACCCAAGCACTGCCCATCCCAAACTGACTGCTTCTACAGTTTTCTACAAGCCTTGTACTGCAGCTACCCATCACTTCCAAATTTCTCCGTTCGACATCACCCCACAAACCTCAGTTGTGGAGAACTCATTATCTTAAAACGAGCATTTGCTTACCAACGTCGGAGCGTTCCACGCGGTTGTAGGTGCAATCTTGGGCTGCCAGTTGGAACCACCTGTTAGTTTCTTTTCACCTGGCTGAGTCCAGTTTACATCACTTCAAATAAATTTTTTTTTAAGAATCGTTAGAAAACAGTGCATTTTCTTACAAAACTCCCTCAGATAAACAATGGTTCCTCTTGGAAACATGGATTCATTTGTTTGAAGCAGCTCATTTAGCACAGATGATAGGTCTCACAACAGCTTGTTTTGGCCAGGAAAAGTAATGCAAGATGGTCAACATGAGCTACCTCAGCATTATCTAATCCCAGTCAAGCTCCCCAGTAGAGGTAGGTTAGTCCATTTGACTTTCCTTGGGGCAAGCTTGTTTAGCTAAAATCAACTGCATACTCCATTTCTGAGTGATTCTGGAATTAGTGTAGATGTTCCCCATAAGCCTGAAATTCACCAATCGCATTCTCAGCTTTGCTGCCAGAGCAGATGTTGACCCTGCTTCAAAATCCACTTCCCTAAAGGTCAACCCCAAGTCAGAGGCTGTAGTTTCACAATCTTTAGTACGGCCCCGCACACCATCTCCTCACACGAAGTATGTACGGTGTGCTGAGATTGTCTACAGCTACAAAGAAACATTGTGATGAACTCATTTCTTTATACAAAGCCTGGAAGGAATCAGAGACAGGAGGAGACCTTGCCTGCTGTTACCACTGTCACCACCACTCGGCCTACAGTCATCTTCCAACAGCTCCCAACAATTCATTGTACCTTGTATGAGAAACAAAGTACAACCCCAAGTGTGCCCTGAAGGTTGACATTACAGTGTTACACACGTTTCAACCTTTATTTGTTCAAAATTCTATTATCAAGAGAATAAAAATGCTCCACTTTCCATTAAGGGTACTCACTTTTTAGTAGTTCCATTTCCAATGCCCAAATCTGTCACAAAGTAGAAAAAGATACTATTGAAACTCTATTCACATCAAATAATGAAATAAGTATTTATACGTTAGTGGTTCCATACTTACTGCCTACAAGGTTGGCTAAAGTGGAATCCAGATCATCTAACACCAGTTTGTTGGGCGGTACTTTGGCAACTGGAAGACTCTGGTTTTGAGAGGCCACTGTTGGTTTTAGGAGACCACCAAGTTCATCAAAGCCTGGGAATGATAAACAGAAAATAAGTGATTTGAATGACTGGCCTCACATGAGCTTCACGCCATTCAATTAAATACACTGCAAGTTCAAGACAATGGCTAAAATACAAAGAATTTAACTTGGCAGTAATACACTAGACAAGAGGGATAAAACTTAGTTTGCCTCTTGATAAAGTAGGCATTTACTACAGAAAGGAGACTGCACTTTCCTAGTTTAACCTACATGACACCAATTTTACACAGAATGGATTCACAATGAGGGCAACACAATCAAAACGTAAATTAAAATAAAGAATAAATATCTACATTATTTCAATCTTATAAAAACGCATGTTTATTTCCTTGCAGTGGATCACTGGTTTGCCCAAATAGAATCAGACGTCAAGCGTCCGATGTCAAAAGACCAGAAAGTATTTTCTTTCCAAATGCTCAGAAAGAGTCCTAACTATGACTACAATACAAATTAATTGTGTATCTTTTGATAATTTATCATTTTCTGAAATAATCAAAAGACTAACGTGTAGGCAAAGGGCCAAAAACGTGTTGCACAGATATATAAAATTAAGATGTGACTTCAGCTCTACTTCTGACCACGCTCAACAAATACAGGCTTCATTTCACTTGACAGCATGTAAAAATAAAGATATTTTTGCTGTGTGAAGGTTTAATGCAAAAAAAAAAATCAGTGAAGGAAATCAACGTAAACATTTCAGCAGGGGGCACGTGGAAATAGCATGTAAGGGAAAATTACTTGATTATCAAAGAAAAACTGGATGAAGAGATTCTGCTACTGGCCTTTTAAAGTCCTCTTTCCCTCCTTCGGCTGGAACACTGTCCCAGCAGTGTCAGTAAATACAGATTAAGAGATTTATACCTCAAAAATAACAAAAAGTTCCAGGACATAGATCATCTATTTTAGCAAGTGTCTTACCACCAGAATCTAGGACAACATTAGAAGATTTGTTTCCAAACACAGACTCAAAGTCAACATTAAGGCCAGCTGATGGCTGTGGTTGAGCAACAGGAGATGGAGTGAACCCTGTGGGGAAAAAAAAAAAAAGACAGAAGTTGAATGTTTTTATGAAACGTTTCCCATGAATCCACCTTCTTTATGCAAGACAAGTCAAATAAACATGAAGATTACTGAAGTATCGCAGAAAGACTAAGAATACCTCAAAAGTTCAGATTATACCCTGACGCCGAGAAGCGCGTCAAAGAAAGAACTGGAAGCAATTTATTTGAAGCTTATTTAGAGTTACTCCTCCAAAAAAAGGTTTTGTCTCAAAAACTGGGCAGATGGGCCATAAAAGCCTCCACTCTGCCCCTCAGTTGCTAAATCTCTGGACTGATTATTCACATCATCCTTAGCCTTTTACCAAATAACTACAATAAATTTATTGAAGAAGTAACCACCTACTTCCCCAGGGAAAGCAAGTGGCTGGGTACAGACTCTGCTTCAAGATGACCTGCCTGAAGGTTATTCCCTCCACGGTTTCTATCAGTGGAGCAGCTCCCACGTACAACTGGAGCAAGATCTGTATGGTCCCAAGATGAGCCATAATGCCTCTGATTAGACATTTGTAGTACTAATAGTTTTATTTATTGAAGAAGTAACCACCAGGGAAAGCAAGTGGCTGGGTACAGACTCTGCTTCAAGATGACCTGCCTGAAGGTTATTCCCTCCATGGTTTCTATCAGAGGAGCAGCTCCCACATACAACTGGAGCAAGATCCGTATGGTCCCAAGATAAGCACTAATGCTTCTGATTAGACATTTGTAGTACTAATAGTTTTTATAATGTTTACTTTGTTATTTTTGGACACACGTATCACAGGAGATCCTGCTTTGCAGTTAAGTTTCTAATAATTATGGCAAGGTATGGGGAGTTAAAGCCAAGTTTTAATTCCCATTCCTGTCTGACCTTACTCCATTTGTCTCCTCCCACACATCTGTAAAGCAGATGACATCTGCTTATATGAGTTTCCCAAATACACCATTTTTTTCAATACTTCAAAAATCTATGGCAGTATAAAGCATTGCTTATGATTTTAGGCAGTATGAAGTTGATGGTTCAGTAATGTGGAAGTGAATATTGATTTGTTTCCACAATAATATTTTTTTTAATGTTACATATAATCACACATCAGTCATGCACACGTGTGTGCACGTACAGCATCGTGATAGTCAGGCAGTTACACAAGTCATTATTCCCTTATATGAAAAGCACCCCAAAAAAATAATGCCATCTTCAGAACTAGCTCTTCTGCTTTCTAGCATAAATGCTGATGCTGTGGAGAAATAAAAGCATCACAAATACTTCAGCAGTCAAACATTGCAGTGAGCAGAAATAACTGACCGAGAAGACCTCTTGGGTTTCGTTTACCTTGTTGTGACAGCACCTCATTTCAACCTTAAGGTTTACCTGAAATAAGTTACACTTCACCCAGAAAATCAATAGCTATAGGATGTTATCCTTGAATGTAAACTTGACAGAAAAACTAAATTTGGATTACCTGTTCCTTCCTATTTGTCGTAATGGAACATATAACTCAAAAGCAGCCATCTCTAAGAATTTAAACAACGTACATTTCATTAAAAACAAAAGCAAGGAAAGAGCATACAGCAAGGCATGAGCAGCAGTTAATGTGGGGAAAAGTAGGGAGTAACTAAACGAGGGAACAAAATGAGTATCTTTATGACAAATACACCATCAGGTTGTACCAAGCCATTTCAGAGACTCTGCACTGCGGATGGGAGCTCCAGTGATGGGATGTCCTGCAACTCTTAAAGCTGTGCCTGTACCAACAGAAAACTTGACTTACGACAGCTCATCTTCTCCTTTAGAAAATGGCCTCAACTGAAACAAGCCGAGTTTCCTGCTCTCACGTTTTCAGAAGTTTCAAGCGCTGTGAAGCTAACGAGATGAGATGAGCCAGAAGACAACATAATAGATAAGACTTCTTTGGGTCAACCTCTGGAAAAGACCAACTCCTACAGCTGGTATCAGCCACCAGCCCAGGGCACCGTGTCTCATGGGGTGTTTTGAAAGGTGCAAAGGTCATTTTTAATGGAGCTCCTTCAAGAAAATAAACCAACAAGACTTGACAGAAACTAAACATTGTGCTTTTGGATATGGAATCATACATAACATTTAACCTTTGGTTAGATAACTCTAGTTAATTTCTATTCGAAGACACTAAGCCACAATGTGACTTTATGGTGCTTTTAAGAACTAACTCGTTCACAAGCCATTTATCACAGCATCATAGGATGGTTTGGGTTGGAAGGGACCTGAAAGATCACTGAGTTCCAACCCCCCTGCCATGGGCAGGGACACCTCCCACCAGACCAGGTTGCTCAAAGCCCCCTCCAGCCCGACCATGAACACCTCCAGGGATGGGGCATCCACAGCTTCTCTGGGCAACCTGTTCCAGTGTCTCACCACCCTCATAGGAAATAATTTCTTCCTGATACCTCTTCTAAATCTCCCCTCTTCCAGTTTAAAACCATTACCCCACGTCCTATCACTACACTCCCTGATAAAGAATCCTTCCCCATCTCTTGTGTAGGTCCCCTTTAGGTGCTGGAATGACATGATAAGGTCTCCCCTGAGCCTTCTCTTCTCCAGGCTGAACAACCCCAACTCTCTCAGCCTGTCTTCACAGGTGAGGTCCCCCAGGCCTCTGGTGATCTTCATGGCCCTCCACAGGATTCATTCCAACAGGTCCATGTCCTTCTTGTGCTGAGGACTCCAAAGCTGGACGCTTTACTTCATTAAAAGTATTCCTAAGCCTTGCACAGGAACAACACTCTGTTCAACCTGGTTTAGACAGATTATCAACTGTCATGGTCCACAGCCCATCTAGCAACTGTCAGAATTGGATACCAGTACTGGTATGGGGTTACTAGACAGATGCACAAATGATTAGCCAGCAATTTGATGCAGGGGATACTTCCTTCTCATGGGGATACCTCTTTCTCATGTTCTGTCACAAAGCTTTGTACTAGTTCAGTGCACTGTTTAAGAGTAATATATAAACAAAAATGCCATAAGCAGCAAGAACATCCCAATCCCTTGATTTGAAAAGCAATGAAGGAGAGTAAGATGTGAAGATACTCATGACATGCAAGTCTTTTGCGTGGATGTAGCAGCATGTAAACCACAAGAGATCCTGAAATGGGGAGATACTCATTTCACGTTTAGGCTAAATAAGCCTTAGTTTAGCACAAACTGAAAAAATACATACTGTTTGTGACAACACACCTAGCACAAGCACATGAATAAGAGTTGGAGCCGCTATAATAATGCATTTCTGTAGCAAGTAACACACCTACTGGTTCTAGGCACACGAGACATTGTATTGCTGTGTTTGTGGTAAGGCTGATTCCCATTACCTACCTCCAAATAGACCAGCTACAGAAGAAGGCTCATTGCGGAAATGAGAAGCATTAGGGTAAGCTTGAGGACCACAAAAAGAATCTGATCAGGCATATCACACGAGAGAGAAAGCCAGGAAAGGAGAAGAGGGAGAGTTACAGAAAGAGAACCAAGATACACCGTTTATCTGCTATTCAAAAATTTAGTTTCAGGTCACTCTATACATCCACATACACTCTAATAACACAGAACCAATGGAATGAAGTCAATACACATCAGACATACAGTAAGAAACAAGTTTACATTATCACTAACACAAAAGGGGAAAGCACAGTTTCAAACTTACAGCTATACTAGGAAAAAAAAATATATTATTTTTTTAAACCAAATGCCATGTTTTACACTCTTGAAGAAATGAGTGTAAAAGCTTCAGGGCATTTTTCTTATACCTGAAGCATAAGGACACAGCCCAATAGTGGATTCACATTTGATTGCCACAAAGGGATTTAGTTCAGTAAATCGATTGTAATGATCTAAAGAACCAGAAATAGTTATTTAAAACCCACATTCACGTAATTGTAGCACCTTGTTTGTACTACAGCTGCATTTACATGTCACATATCAA